CTGCTTCCAAGCTGCAAGCTTTCTTCTCCTTGGATTTCTTTGAGAGCATCCCAATCCATGCATATTCCCAATTTCCTATTCCTGACTGCAATTCCCAGCAATCCTCCAGATAGATTAGATAGATAGATAGATAGATAGATAGATAGATAGATAGATAGATAGACAGACAGACAGACAGACTAGACACTGAGAACTGGAAAGGCCTGGCCCTTGAGCGCTTCAGTTGGCGGTCAGCTGTGACCAGCAGTGCTGCAGAATTTGAAGAGGCACGAATGGAGGGTGAAAGAGAGAAACGTGCCAAGAGGAAGGCGCGTCAAGCCAACCCCGACCGGGACCGCCTCCCACCTGGAAACCGATGCCCTCACTGTGGGAGAAGATGCAGATCAAGAATAGGGCTCCACAGCCACCTACGGATCCACCCCCAGGTTACCACTCTTGGAGGACCATCATCCTCGGACTACGAGGGATCGCCTAAGAAGAAAAATATAGATATAGATAGATAGATAGATAGATAGATAGATAGATAGATAGATAGATAGATAGATAGATAGCCCTGGCCCTTGAACACTTCAGTTGGTGGTCAGCTGTGACCAGCAGTGCTGCAGATTGAAGAGGCACGAATGGAGAGTGAAAGAGAGAAATGTGCCAAGAGGAAGGCGCGTCAAGCCAACCCTGACCGGGACCGCCTTCCACCTGGAAACCGATGCCCTCACTGCGGGAGAAGATGCAGATCAAGAATAGGGCTCCACAGTTACCTATGGATCCACCCCCAGGTTACCATTCTTGGAGGACCATCATCCTCAGACTACGAGGGATTGCCTAAGAAGAGATAGATAGATAGATAGATAGATAGATAGATAGATAGATAGATAGATAGATAGAGATAGTAGGTAGATAGATTGATTAGGAGTGCTGCTGGGAGTTGCAGTCCAAGAAGAGGCAGAGAAGGAAGAAAGAGGAGAAAGGGGAAGGGAAAGAAAAAGGGGGGAAGGAAGGGAAAAGGAAGAGAAGGAAGGAAAAAGGGGGAAGGGAAGGAAGGAGAGAAAGAAAGGAGGAGAGAAAGAGGAAGGTTGGCCCAGCAATGCATGGCAAGTACAGCTGGTAGAATCATAAAATCATAGAATCATTGAGTTGGAAGAGACCTCGTGGACTATCCAGTCCAACCCCCTTCCAAGAAGAAGGAAAACTGCATTCAAAGCAAAGCTATTGATGGGCACTAGGACTTGTGATGCTCATTGGGCACTTACAATGTGCACTGGGAAACTAGGACGTACATGAGACAATTCTGATGTATCTTGACCACTTGTTCTGCACTCCAGCAATTGTAGGTATGCATCCTGCCCATTGTGAATCGGAGCTGTGACACATCAGTCATTCCATTTTTCACCAGACTCGCATACATTGCAACATCATGGCTTCCATGATGTTATGGCATACTATTCCCCCCACACATTAATCTATTTTGTTGTTGTGTGCGTCAAGTCATTTCCAATCTATAGTAATCCTAAAGTGACTCAATCACAAGGTTTTCTTGGTAAGATTTGTTCAAAGTAAGTTTGCTTTTGTCTCCCTTGGAGAGAGTGATTTGTCCAATGGGTTTCCAAGGCCAAGTGGGGATCCATACTCCCACTTGGCTCCAGTCATAGTCCAATGCTCAAACCAATACATCATGCTGTCTCCATAAATCCATTTGCAAAGATATAATGAAATCCATCCATTCTTTGCCATCCTATGGGTGACATTCTTGTTCTTTGATATCAAGTTGGTTCCAACTTATGGCAGTCCTGTGAATAGGAAGCCACCAATGCAGGCATTACATTCCCATATGTCGGCACAACTTCCCCATCAGAAGCAGTTGAGACTTCTCCTGAATGCAAAACAGCCAGATTTAGTTCAAGTCTGCAGAAGAGAAGTTACAATGTGATTCACATTTGGTTGCGTAAACATCACAACTCTCCACCAAGGAGAACTCTCTAACGCTGTGATGCAACTGCTATTTAATTCCCGGGGTGAACTCACCAGTGCAAGATCTCAGCCATGTTTTGCATGGATTCATATTGACGAGGGTTGAATGAAAAGTAATGCCTCCATCTTCGTAACTCCTCAACAGATGGCAGTACTGATATGCGGCAGGTACTGACTTGTTCAGTAGACTCTCTTCTACAGTTCCATCTTGGCAGGAAGCCTTAGCATTGAACAATTATGTTGTTAAGGTGCGAAGTATGGAACCCTGCGCAGGCGGTTGGTCAATGCGACTTAAGCAACGTGCAGTCATTGAATTCTTGACAGCAGGTGTCCCCCAAAGGAGATTAATCAGAAAATGCAAGAGTTGGAAGTCCTGTGACAGCAACCACTGAGTTTCATAAAAGGTTGATTTGGGACGATCGTCGTATCACTCAGAGAGAAATTTCACGCATAATTGGTGTTCTGTCGCGCACTGGGTCTGAACAAATTGTCTTTATTCTATAGGACGAACACTGTAAACCCAGTGGGAAGCCGGGGTGCCTCAAAGAGAGATTCTTAGGGATTTCCTGAAGTAATGGTCTTTACAGTCTTTAATGGTACAACAAAGTCTTTATTAAGGAACAATAACGAATCTTCAAACAACACTTCAAGGTTTTCTTATTCTAGCCTTTAAGAGACTGGCACTGACTTGGATTAACTGTACTTTCTCAGCATGAGGAAGAACCCTTTATAATCTCTCCCAGGCTGTCTGTTATCTGGGCCTCGCTGGTCTGGGTCTTACTACCGATCCCAAATACGTCTGGACATCGAGTAAACCTACCAGCCAAGGCTTGATGATACTTCAGCTGGAATTCAGTGGTTCTGTAATGCTGTCCTGTGGGAACTTCAGGGCTGTTTCCCCCTCTGGTGCTGTGAGGCTGAGAGGCTGTGAGCTCTCAGCCAGAGCCTTTGGAGAGGGCAGGTAGACTGAGAGGCTGTGAGCTCTCAGCCAGAGCCTTTGGGATCTTTTCCTTCTGTTTCTATTTCCCTGGATGATCCCCGGATGATTCCCGGATGATCCCCGGATGATTCTGAGGAATGAAGCTTTTCCTACGGGACGAGCTGTCTGCGTCCTATAGACTAGCTTCCTAGACTGACTAAAAATGGCTCCCTTCCCTCCAAAACCCAAAAGGGGGCAGAACTAAGGAACCTAATGATGATGGACAGATGGCCTGCCCTATAACTGTAAACTTTAACAGGAAGCCACCCTTCTGCAAAATCCCAAGCCTTGGGCTGCAAACAAACACTAAATACAAAGCAAATAAAGTGGGAGCTTCTGGTACAGGCATGTAGCCGAGGGGGGGGGGGGGGGGGGGGGGGGCTTGAGGGGCTTCAGCCCCCCCCCCCGAAATTCTCATGGTGGTTCGCAAAAGGCCTTACTGGTGCATTATTTAAACTGTTATGTTTATTCATATCATGATCTGATCACCATACTCAATATATCCCATATGCATGGGGGTATTGGGGTAATGATACAAAAGGTTTGCTAGGCTAGACCCTCTTTCACTCAGACTCAGCCCCCCCTCCCGAAACTCAGCCCCCCCGAACCCCCCCTGAAAAAAATTCAGCCCCCCCCCCCCCCCGAAATGAAATCCTGGCTACAGCTGTACCAGCACAATCACAATCGGCATTTCACAAGAATGTGTGGGTCACATTATTGCTTTGCTTGTCTGTTGGAAGATCTGTGCACGATGGATACCCAAAACAGAGTGTCGACTTCTTCTGTGACAGCTTCAGAAAACTTGTTCATCGTTGGCAGAAATGTATCCAATTTTCTGGTGATTATGTGGAAAAATGAATAGTGGCAATTAAAGAGCACATTCTAAGGATTATTTCTGCATTCGATTTCTTAAAATATTCCCATCCAAACCTAAGTAACGAAGGTGGAGGCATAACTTTTCATTCAACCCTCGAAGCTCCTTCTACAGTCATCCAAGTTGAGAACTTGGCTGAAGACAGCCTCTATTGTTCTCTTTGGGTTTTCCAGCTGCAGATTCTTCTCCTGACCTTTCAACCAGTCCTTCAAGGATTTTAATCTGGCCTTTTGTTATCTTTGGCAGGTTGACTTCAACCAGAACCCTTTCCAACAGCAAGCTGACTCAGTGCTGCCCTGCTCGCTGTCACTGCCTTCATTCATAAATCTTCAAATAAAGGACGCCTTATCTTCTGGTGCCAATGAAGTTGGCATTTGGTCTGAAGGGCGCACACCCTGGAAATATTGCACATCACGCATCTGCTCGGAGCCCCACCTCTGTGCTTCCTCCAACATTGCGAAAGAGCCACAGGTGCACCACTCAGGATTATGTAGTGAGGTAAAGGAGCCTTTCTGGGGTGCAGCCCCACTGAAGAGTTAGTGCAGCTTGGCTCCATTTTAACTGGCATTTATTATTTATTTATTTATTATTATTTATTATTTATTTACTCCATTTGTATACCGCATTTATCAGCCTGAGACGGCGACTCAATGCGGTTTACAATAAAAATGGCAACACTGAACAATATATAAGACGCACATACACAAACAACACACATAGTCATCGACGCCTCAATTAGAATCAGATCCCGTTCTCACAATCCTTTTTCCGTTCCTTGTTCCAATGCCGTCTTACTGAGTTAGTTGTCATTGCATAGTTATCCAAATGCCTGTTCATAGAGCCACGTCTTCACCCTCCTCCGAAACACCAGTAACGAAGGAGCCTGCCTGATGTCCACTGGTAGGGCATTCCATAGCCCAAATAGTGCGCCTTTCGCTGCTGTGCATTACATTTGGAAATTGAGTTGCTCAGTAGATTGGATGGCACATTAGACTAGTCAATATGGGTATTTAAAAGTTCAAGATTCACTACAAATGGACCTCTTTGGAAGAAGGGACTTGGGCTCCTTTGAACCAAGGCAGCCCATCTTATTTGCAAAGCTGACTTGCCGCAAAAGCTCCCTCAGCTTTGCTCCCTGAGTCAGAGAGTTCATTCCCCCTTTTTTCCTGAATTGCACTAAAAGGCTCACCCCTAGCCTCGTTGTGACGTCCGGACAGCTGATGCGGAGTTGTGTCTCTCTCCACAGCTACGCCATGCCCACCAAGACCACGGAGGTGATGCTGGTGCAAGAGCAAGGGTCCAAGATGAAGCTGGATGCCGTCCTTACGACCCACCAGCGTGTGGTTCAGGTAAGGAAGGGGTGCTTTGATTGTGCTTTTCCTGCATGGCAGAATGGGGTTGGACTAGATGGCCCATGTGGTCTCTTCCAACTCTGTTATTCTATGATTCTATGAGGAAGGGCCTTGTCTGCCTGCCTCTCTCCTTTCCCTTTACTCTGCTCTTCAAATCGCATTGTGACAACAGGTGATCTTCAACTGGAATTAAGATTCCCCCTTACACTCTGCTTGTGTTGGAAATCGCAACCTTCTTCAAGCCTGCACTAGTAATTTGTTTGTATATGATTCTGTTTGCTTACTGTATTTTATATGTATGTTCTGGTATGCAGCTTTCCCTTTATGTTTCTTGAGTTTGTGGAAGGGGATGCAGACCACATGATAGGATCTGGGACTGTTCTGAGCTCAGGCTCCATTTTAGAATACAGAGATGTCATGAGACTTTGGACCACTGAAGAGACGATTTTACTCAAACGAGTTTTCCGTTCCTTTTTTCCTCTCCCCAAACCCAGATCCAAGGCTTGAAGGCCACCTTCGCTCCCGTCCTCTTAGAAATCATTCAGAGTAATCAGCCCGAAGGAGTCCATCTGCTAGTGAAAGAGGTAAGTCAATTCTTGCTGAAGCTTTCACATTTTGCAATCCTGGCATTGGCTTTTTCGCTGC